CCTATATAGGATCCGAACCCATGGCGGGAGCGCTGCTGCGCTCCCAGCACCACACTCTCCCGAATGCGCCACGGGCTCAGCCCAGTCTTTGCTTTTTGATAGTGGTAAATTGGTTACTTGTGGGGAGGAGCGACACTGGGAATCATCTATTCCACTATCTTGATGATGTCACTCTGAGTCTCCCCTTTTGGCTGTCATGAATAATGCTGCAGTGAACACTGGCATACAAGTATATTCAAGTCCCTTCTCTCAATTATTTTGAGCATATACCTAGAAGTGAAGTTGCTAAGCTATATGGCAGTGCTATGTTTAGCTTTCTGAGGAACCACCATACCATTTTCCACAGCAGCTGCACTGTTTTACATTCCCACCAGCAATGTATGAAGGTTCCAGTTTGTCTACATTCTCACCAACCCCTGTTGTTTTTCATTTTTTGGACTATTGCCATCCTGGTAGGTGTGAAGCGACACACTAGGGGTCTTCAAAAAGTTCATAGAAGGATTTGTATTCTCTTTTAATTCTATTTTTCCACAAACTTTGTGAAATACCCTCATGTGTGTTTTTGATTTGCATTTTCCTGATGACTAATGGTGTTGAGCCTCTTTTCACATGCTTGTTGGCCATTGGTCTTTTTTGGAGAAATGTCTATTCAAGATTCTTGTTCATTTTTAAATCAGGTTGTCTTTTTGCTGTTCAGTTGTGGCTCCCATTCCTTTTTAAACCCATCTGGATCAAACTTTCTCCACTGCTGCTCCCATAAGCTGGTTCTTGTCAAGGTTGCCAGTAGCCTTGTGATGCTGTGTCTCGTGGTCAGCTCTCCTTACGTGGCCTGTCAGCAGAACTGGACTCAGCTGATGCCCTCAGACCCCACACTCCCCGGCTCTCTTTCCACCTCCCCTGCCACTCCTGCTCAGTCTCCTCTGCTGGCTCCTCCTCATCTCCCTGGTTTCTTAGCTGTGGAGGCCACAAGGCTGACCCCTGGACCTCATCTTCAGCTACACTTACTTCCATGGTGGTCACATCCAATCCCATATTAAATATCACCTAAACACTGACTCCTCCCCAGGGCTCACCTCCAGCCTGACCTCTCCCCTGACCACTTGACGGCAGCCCTTGGACATCAGATAGGCATCTCACACTTAGCAAATCCAGACCACACTCCTGACCTCCCCGTGAAACCTGCTTCTCTTGCAGGCTTCCCCGTATCATACCTGCTCACCCCACCCCTCCCTCTTCTCAGGCTGAAACTGTTGGTGTGACCATCACTGTCTTCTCAACACCATATCACATGCCCTAGGAAATGCTGCCAACTGCACTTGCCCCCAAGTCCCCACAACCCCCACGGCCACCACCCTAGCTCAGGACACCACCAGCTGTCACATGCAGTGTCTTGCTCACTTTCCCCCCGCCCCCACCCAGCAGCCAGAGTGGTCCTTGAAAAATATACATTGGATCATGTCACTTCCCTGTTCAAAATCCTCCAGTGGCTCCATCTCATTCAAAGTCAACACCAAAACCTTCACAGTAGCTCACAAGGTCATGACGTGGGTGCCACAATCCCACTGTCCTCCTCTCCTCTCCCCCACAC